GCCGCCATGTCGAAGGCACAAGCAGACAACAAGACCCGTTTTGACCAAAAGAGGAGAGGTGATCTCGACCTACAGCAAGGCCTGGTTGTCCATGCTACATCTACGGCTTGCTTGTCCATCCAAAAAATTAGCTCCACCGATTTGTCGGCCCGTTTACGGTCTTGAGGAGGATCAATCCTGTCGCTTATGAGCTCCAGTTGCCCGCTTCCTATCGGATCCACCCTGTCTTCCACGCCTCTCTTCTTAAAGCAGTGGCCACTGATGCCTTCGGGGACAGGGGTGATGTGCCACTACCTCCTTCAATCATTGATGGTGCTGAGGAGTACGAAGTTGAAGCTGTTCTGGACTGTCGTGGAAGGGGTAGGAACCGATGATTCCTCATCAAATGGAAAGGGTATGGTCCCGAAGAGAATTCCTGGGAGCCCGAGTCCCACGTCCATGCTCCCGACTTGATCCGTAGATTTTTTCAGAGGCCTCCTGGTCGTCCAGCCCGAGTCGGCATCCGGAGGCTGCCTGTTCGGGGGGCTCTGTCAGAGACCTGCTGCTTCTGCGCATGCGCCAAGCCGGGGTTCCCGTAATGGGCCTGTGCGCATGTGCGCGCCAAGGACTGTCCACAGAAGAACGCTCTCCAAAAGGCTCACAGGAAGTGACACTCTCCAAAAGGCTCACAGGAAGTGACGCTCTCCAAAAGACTCACAGGAAGTGATGCTCTCCAAAAGGCTCATAGCAAGTGACACTCTCCAAATCATTTCCTTCACTATTTAAACCCAGACTCCACACCTACTCATTGCTGGATTGTCTCTTCAACCGCCCTGACGTCTCCTGATCCTTGTTTCCAGTACCCTTGATTATCGACCCGGATTGACTTTGACCTTGTTTGCCTACAGGCTGCCTTTGACCTCGGAACGTTTGACCATTCTTGTTTGCCTATACCCTTGACCTCGGATTGCTTCACTGGACTGCCTACGCCTTCTCCTTTTGTACTTGCTCTGCCTGCTCGGTGTGACCTCGGCCTGTTGACCTCGGATATCAAGATTTACAAGACCCTGCCGCAAAACCAAGGAGTGGCCTGCACGGTGGAACCGCCTCTGGCCCTCCTGCCACTCACTGTCTATAAGGACTCTGTCCCCAATACCAGAGTCCCTAGGACACGAGCTGCAAAGGAATCCTCCTCCTACATCCAGTCTCCGCACAGGTACGTGATACCAGCTTCCGCGCTGTCCACCCAGGCTTCAAGGGCCTTAGATGTCGCAGCTAAGGCGACAGCAGGGCTGCAAGCACCCCCCCGCTCATGAATAGCCCTCTTTAAGGTCCAGATCAGCCCGTCTGTCAAGCACGTCCTTAAAGGTGATGGCATCATCGAGTGGTATGGTGACATGTCTAGCTAGTCGCATTAGTGCAGCGTCTACGACAGGCGATTCCTCAAAATGTTTAACCTCCTCCTTTTTGAAGGGATACAGTTTGGCAAAACGGTTGCGAAACGAAGATTTCCTCTCCACCGGATTCCATTCCTCCGAGATAATATCTTTAATCTCATCCAGAAAAGGAAAATAAAGCATTTCCTTTCTAACATGCTTAAAGTATCGCCTCTTTTTCTCAGGCTGTTCTTCGGTGCCTTCCCATAGGAGAGCTTGCCTGACCGCCTTAACAAAGGGCTGCACAAGAGAAAAATCAAAGCCATCCAATTGCTCACCTTCCTCTTCTGATGACGAGCCCGAATGGTCCTCAAGGGGGTCATCCCACCGGGTGCTAGTATTGGCTCCTGAGGGACCTGGTCTAGGATCCGAGCCTTGTACTGCGCCTGGCGCAGTTTGAGAGTGAGGAGTAGCATTGGCAGAAAATTCCCTTAGTGTATCCTGAAAAACCTTTTTCATCATTGACAAAACTTGATGGTTATCAGCATCTCTATCTCTTGTAGCTTCCATGAAGCAATTCTCACAGGCTGTCTTGCCGGGCAAAGCCAAATTAGGACAGGCCCAGCACCCGCCAGGGAGAGGTTGAGGATGATGCGCATTGTCCAGATGGCAAGTGGCACTCCGCTGATTTACAGATGAAGATCTCCTCCTACACTGACGGTGTGAACGCCTTTCCCCAGAGGGGGATCTTCGCCTGCTAGTGGTAGAAGAATGGCGACGTTCTTTGGAACGGAGCGAATCAGATCTAGAAGAGCTGTGACAAAAAACATAAAAGTGGGGGCTGATTTGTGAGTTGAGGCCAGAGGTGTCTATTAGACCGCCTGTCGCTTTAAGAAAAAAAGTGAGTCATTGCTTACTTTCTTTGCCTATGATGGTGTTTTGGGGGGGGGGTCAGTCTGTCTAAAGGCATGCTGTGGAAGAAAAACGCATGTCACAACCACTTGCGACAAGGTATATCTTTTTAAGAATAAGCAACATACAAGAAAAAACTTGTATAGAGTAATTGCATCAGTACCTGAAGCGAGGAGCGATTCCAGTGACCGAATAAGAGCACCAAGAGCTTGTCAGCAGAGCACAGAGGGTACTTGTGCCAGCATCCGACAGGGGAGAAGAGCGGCCGCAAGTAATAGCAGTAGGATGTTTTAAATCGGCCGCTCGTTTCGTAGCTCCGCCCCCGACACATTCACGCTCCTTGGGGGCGTTCGCGCATGTGCCGTAGTGGACTTCCACGTTCCAGCGGCCGAAAGCACCGGTGGAACATACAGCGGCCGGAGACACACATAGCGCACAGAAAGAGACCCCATGCCCAGCCATAACAGGAATCCAGGTCCCTTGGCACAGCCCCGTCGACCATCAGCGGGGCTCCCAAAGTCTTCTAGCTTTAGAGAATCCAGGGGACTTAACCGTATGCAGACGAACAATAAGGATTTTATCCCTGCAAGGTAAGCTACAACTCTGATGCAGGAGGAAAAAAACGGTGGAATGGGATAGCTGGGCAAAATGTATTAGTTACAATTCTGATAGGTGGGAGGAGAGAGGGATTAACTATTAAGGCTGTGACACACTGCAGGCGTAGCGATGAAAAGCAAAGCGAAAAAACTGCAACCTTCCACTTCACACCACACTGCAGCGCAGCTTGTTGGCACTGTAGTTTGTACTGTATTTTTTCATGGTTACCTCTACAGATTCTGCTTGTCTACAGAGTGGCTAAAACAGGTCGATTTTGGGACAGTGGTGGATAGCCAGGACCCAGTCGCAGCTGCAAACGCTACACCCTGGCTGTTCTGCCACTGGCTCCAGGCTGTAGAGAGACTACAAGTTTCCGCAACACATTATATAGCAATGGAGAACAATATTTAGCCGAAGCCTCTCCAGGGCTGCGTGCAGGCAGCGGATGTCACCAGTACTGTGTGGGCGGCAGGAAGAAGGAGGTGTACATGTGGGGCCTGACCAGTGTTGTGTACTTGCGCCGGGAAGGTCCCCACAAGGCTACCGTAAGGTCTCCAGCAAGTGCAAGACCTTACGGCAGCTGAAATAATTAAAACATTTAAAGTGCCATTATAAGCTTTATTGGGGCATTTTTTGGAGTAGAGTACTCATGAAAATGCCTAGTATCAGCAACAATACCAATACTGTTATTGATATTGGTGCATCCCCAGTCAGTGCTGTTTTGGGAAAGGGGGATATACTTCATATATGGTGGGAGGTCAACATGTTATGGCTGATTGGTGTAAATGCCATGATTTAATTATTTAATGTTTAATTATTTAATTAATAAATATTCTTTGTTAATTATGAAACATTTCA